GGCGTGGTAGCACGCGCCTGTAGTTCCAGCTACTTGGAAGGCAGAGGCGGAAGGATCACTAGAGCCCAGCAGGTTGAGGCTGCGGTGGCCGGGAGTGGCCACTGCACTCCAGTCTGGGCGACAGAGTGAGACTCCAACTCAAAGAAAAAAAAAAAGAATTTCACACCATCCTCTGCACCTCTCCTGGCTTTCATCTTAAGCTTGTGTAAAGATTGAGAAAGTACTCTGAGTGCTCCATTAAATTCTTGGAAGGGTCTAGAATTCACCCCATTCTTCTCAAGTGTAATTTTTTCCAGTTTTCTTTGTCCCTGTCCAGTGGTTGTATTGTGTTGGGATTCCTTCCAGTTACTATTAATTTTCAGCACACAGCCACCATGAAAGTCTTACTATAAAATAACTGCCAAAGTAAAGAAATGGGTTGGCTTCATCTCAAAGGCTTGGTGTAGCCACTGCGGAGGATGGGAAGCCCTCTCCAATCTAAGAGGTTAAAAACTCCTTAGCAACTATTTTCCCTGCTCAGGGCAAGCAGCAGACTGCTTTTCCTATGGTACACTCCCTTCTCATTGGGCTTCCTTTACTAAGGCTTTCTCTCAATACTCCAGGTTCCATCATCTAGACCTCCTTTGGAGTGGGCGCTTTCGGAGCTAAGGAGCAAAGCAAAGGGACTGGTAGGCTGGCCCTGCACTCGCTCCCGCCCCTGGCAGAGGGGACAGCGACTGCCCCGGGCCCGCCCTCTAGCCACTCGGCCCCGAATGGCAGAGCCAGGCTCGGACCATCGGCATCGCCTCACTTCGCCCCGCCCCGCACCGCCCTCCCATTGGCTGCCGCTGAGCCCTTGGGGCCTGCGCCTCGCCCCCCTGCTCCGCCTGCCGCAGCCCAGAGCCGGGTCGGAGGTGAACGGCCTGAAGTAACCCCGGACGTAGTCACCTCATGGGGCTCGTCTGCTGAGGTGGGAGGCGGGGGCGAGGCGGGGGCGGGGCCTACTCCCGTGAGGCCCCGCCCCTTCCCCGTGTGCCAGCCGGCCTGGTGCTGCGCGCCTGTCAGCCATCGCCGGAGCTCCCGGCATCTCCTCCCGCCCAACACTTCCTTCGCGCCAGAGGCCCCGGGACTGCCCGACCGGGGACTCCGTCACACTGAGGTGAGAAACGCCCAGAACCTGTGACCCGGAACCTGGAGAAACTGGGGCCCAGGGAGGGGTGGCGGCAGGCAGGGGGCCGCCTCCCAGCCTGCGCCCGCACGCGGCTCGGGCTCCATACCGTCCAGACCTGGTACCCTGCAGTCCAACCCTCCCCGCAGCTCTGAGGCCCTGAGGTCCCCTGCCTAGAGACATGGAGAGGTCTGGGGTCTTGGGAGGTGGAAGCTCAGGTCCCGGAACTGGAAGGCGTATGGCCCAGGCCCCTGGGAAGGAGCTAGGGTGTCTGTCTGCCTGGAGCTTGCCTCCTACCCCTCCTGCACAGCCCCAGTGTGGCCTGATTCATTCCACACCCATCTCCAAGCCGACCCTGGGCTTGGGAGAGGGAGAAGACCACGTGGGAGGGCGGTGTTGAAGGCTAGGTCTGGCTGCACCGAAAGTCGTCTTCCTCTCTCTTGTAGAGTGAGGTGTGAGGTGCAGACTCGGGCTTCAGTTGCTCTTGCTTTTTGTATCATGGTGAGAGCCAGAACCAGGAGGGTTGTTCCTAGCCAGTTTTTGCTGCCGGGATTTTAATTATGTTTTCTGTGAGGGGCGTAGTAAATGTACGTGACTGTTACTCTCTCCTTTCCGTTGGCCATGCTGACCATGGTAGCTATTGGAGATAGGACGTAGGAAGGTGATGTGAGGCTGATGACTTCAGAGGAAAATGTACCTGAAGGTCCTGACCGGGTCAGGGCCAACATTATTTTTGGATTTGGAAATGGACAAGTGGACACTAGTGGACACTTGAAATGTGCTCTAAAAGTGAAGGATTATATAGGCCTTATGGATTTTAGAGACGCATATAAAAATATAACTGTTCAGATAGGGAAAACACTTTACTGTCAGTTATTTTTGTTAGGGGGTATAAGACTGAAATTGACAAAAGACCCTAGGAGCAGTGTTTTATTAATTTCCCAGAATGTGAATAAATGTAATAACCTGGTCTTCAGTCTCAGAAGTTGATCTCTCTTGATTTTTTTCTCTCTGGTTTCATTCATTCATGCCGCCCTCCCCCCCACCCAGTTCCATAGTACAGGTTGAGAAGTATGCTTTCTTAGGTTACATGGTTTCTTCTTGAACAAGGGGGATGAGGATGAATACTCTTGTTTGTCTTTTCTTAATGGGGATGTCTTGAATTATTGTGATGAGAACTATTTCTGTGCTGCCTATTTGACAGGCACTTTTCAGAAAAGCGTTGTTGCCCAATAGAACAGGACCACAGTTTGTCACAGATGGTCACCTGCTTTCTACAAAGTAGCAAGTCTCTTCCCACTTTTTTTTTTTTTTTTTTGAGTTGGAGTCTCACTCTGTCACTCAGATTGGAGTGCAGTGGCATGCTCCTGGCCACTGCAGCCTCGACCTGCTGGGCTCTGGCGATCCTTCCACCTCAACTTTCCAAGGAGCTGGAACTACAGGCATGTGCTACCACGCCCAGCTATCTTCCCACTTTTCTAGCCTCAGTTTCTTATTTCTCTGTGCTACTGAATGCTTAACAGGAATATTAACAAGTATTGTGAAATGGGCATATGAAAGATGTCAAAGGTAGAGTATTAATTTATGAAGCCCCTGTGTTTACTAGTATTGTAGAAGTTTTGTTTTGTTTTGATTTACTAGTACAAAATAGAAATACATCAAGCATAATTTTAAATTGTTTTTTTTTTGTTTTGAGTTTTTTTGAGTCTGTGCCTCACCCTGTCCCCCAGGCTAGACTGCAGTGGCATGATCACAGCTCACCAGGGCCTTTACTTCCTGGGCTCAGGTGATCCTTCCACTTCAGTCTCCAGAGTAGGTGGGACTACAGGTCATGCCACCATACCCAGATAATTTAAATTTTTTTCTAGAAGAGGTCTCACTCTGTTTCCTAGGCTGGTCTCGAACTCCTGGGTACAAGCAGTCCTTTCTCTTCCACCTCTCATATTACTGAGATTATAGGCATGAACCACCATCTTGGCCAATTTTTTTTTTTTTTTTGAGTTGCCCAGGCTAGAGGGCAGTGATATGATCAAAGCTCACTGCAACCGTGGCTTTCTGGGCTCAGGTGATCCTCCTGTCTTAGCCTCCTCAGTAACTGGCACTACAGGTATGTACCACCACCTCTGGCTAATTTTTTTTTGTAAAGATGAGGTCTTGCTATTCTGCACAGGCTGGTCTTGAGCTTCTGAGCTCAAGCAGTCCTCCCACCTTGGCTTCCCAGAGTGCTGGGATTAAGGCTGAGTTACCATGTCAGGCCGCCAATTGTTTTTATTTTATTTTTTATTTTATTTTATTTTTTGAGCTGGAGTCTCACTCTGTCGCCCAGACTGGAGTGCAGTGGCCACTCCCGGCCACCGCAGCCTCGACCTGCTGGGCTCCAGCGATCCTTCCGCCTCAGCCTTCCAAGTAGCAGGAACTACAGGCACATGCCACCATGCCCGGTTAATTTTTTGATTTATTATAGAGATGAGGTCTCTCCAAGTTGCCCAAATGGTCTTGAACCCGTGAGCTCATGCAATCCTTTCACCTCAGCCTCCCAAAGTGCTGGGATTATAGGTGTGAGCCCCTGTACCCGGCCCAGAATTGGTATTGTGAAAGCCAGCCTTAGAGAACTCTCTGAAGTCATTGACCTCTCTAAAGTGCTGTGAACAGGTTCAAGTGTAGATCACTATGTAACATTTTCTTTCAGTCAAAAACAAGGATAATTTTTTTGCCTGTCACACAGACTGGTTTAACAGGTGTGGGGGCAAGTGTTTTCTTTCTTTAGAACATTTTTTTTCTTTTTATGGATAGCTGATATCCTCAAGAGTCTTGGTTGAGGAAGGAAGTAAAATTAAAAAAGAATTGTAGAATAATACGTTGAAATTTAGGTGGCCAGGCTCAGTGGCTCAGCCTGTAATCCCAGCACTTTGGGAGGCCGAGACGAGTAGATTGCCTGAGCCTGCGGTTCGAGACCAGCCTGGGCATCTTGATGAGACCTCATCTCTACAATAAATCAAAAATTAGCTGGGCGTGGCAGCATGTGCCTGTAGTTCCAGCTACTTGGAAGGCTGTGGCAGGAGGATCACTGGAACCCAGCAGGTTGACGCTGGGGTGGCTGTGAGTGTGCTACTGCACTCCAACCTGGGCGATGGAGTGAGACTCTGACTCAAAAAAAAAAAAAAGAAAAGAAATTTAGAATTTCAGTTGTGGGGGGAGAGGAGAATCTCTTTGTAATTTAGAAAAGAAGTTTTTAAGTCATTATCTAACATGTTATGAGAGACTAGTAATCATAGGAGCTATATGTCAAGCATCTTTCCAAATGCTTAAAACAATGAGGTTAAAAGAAGTGAATAAACACTAAAGACTCATTGGCTCAAAAATTGTCAACTTTTGAGGACTACCATTTTCTTTCTTTATCCCTTTGAGGGCATTTATCATTGGCTAGTGACTACCATGTTCAAAAAAGTCTTCATTGATTTCCATTTTAACAGGTTATTGCTTAACTAGCTTTTTGTTTCTTTAATCTTAAAAACTTTATTGAGTACTATATTTACTACTTTATTTGATCTAATGAACTGTTTGAAGGTTATATTAAATAGGTAGAAAACTACAATAAGTAGTGTCATAAGGATGTTGCACTTAAATAGGATGTGAATCTGATTGATAGGAAATAAATTCTTAGGAGTTTAGCTGGCCAGTCTTCAGTAAATGTGCTGTAATAATACAGTTCTCTTACCAATCTGTTACTTATCCAAACTACCATTGAGCCTAGTCTCAGGATGCTTAAGGAGGCAAGTGAAAGTGGTTTCACCGTGGTGGCTCACGCCTGTAATCCCAGCACTTTAGGGGGTGGAGGTGAGAGAATTGCCTGATTCCAAGGGTTCGAGACCAGCCTGAGCAACATGGTGAGACCTCGTCTCTACAATAAAACAAAAAACTGGCTGGGCATGGTGGTGCACGCCTGTGGTTACAGCTACTTGGAAGACTGAGGAGGCAGAAGGATCCCCTGAGCTCGCAGGCCAAGGCTATAGGCCATGAGCATGCCACTGCACTCCAGCCTGGGTGACAGAGTGAGACTCTGACTCAAAAAGAAAAAGTAGTTTCTTTTTTTTTTTTTTTTTTG